TTGTATATTCATAAAATATTTTTCGGGTCAAAAAGAAAATATCTTCCTGAACTCCAAATACAAGCCAGCTGCAAGTTCTTGATTGTCAGCAAGAAGAAGCAAGATAATGCCTTCTGAATGTGCCCTGTCGTGACAAAAGCCGTTGGATACCTACTAATATCATTTCGGACCTCCTTTTGCTCGTCGGAATGCAGCACCTTTACGTGGTATGGATTCAACAAGTCGTTGGAAGTCCCATGCAGAAATATTGAGCCATGCTGCCCCTTCTGCCCCCTAGCTGTCCATAGTTGCAAAAGTGTTGCCGGTGCAGAATTTTGTGCACAAACGCACATCTCAATTATGTCTCAAGAATGGGCTCTAAGCGAGAATATGCAAATCGGGTGATCTGGGCGGTGAAATTATTTGCTGCAATTGCTCAGAAAGTTCTTCAAACCAATCGCGAACAATAGTTGCCAGGTGACATGACGCAATGTAATCCCATCGTTGTTTCGAAACTTGAAGTCCATTAAGGAGTGAAAATGGTATTTAAGTACCTGAACACTACCATTTCTAGTCAGTGATCAATTCGGTTGGGCCAGAGGACCTCGTCCATTCCATGTAAAAATAGCCCACACCATGACGGGTCCACCATCAGCTTGCACAATGCATTATTGACAACTTGGGTCCATGGCTTCGTGGGTTCTGCGTCACATTCAAACACTATTATAAGCTCTTACCATCTAATAATTAGAACTCATTTGATCAAGCTACGGTTTTCCAGTCGTCTAGTGTTCAATCAATTTAGTCCCGTGGCCAGAAGAGTCGCTGCAGTTGATGTCGTGCTGTTCGCAAAAACACTCGAGTCGGTCTTCTGCTCATTAAAGTCAAATTTCGCTGCACAGTGCTATTGGATACGTTCATCGTACGTTTCATATTAATTCCTGCGGTTATTAAACGCAGTGTTGCCTGTCTATTAGCACTGACACCTCTGCACAAACACCACTGCTCTCGGTCATTAAGTGAAGGCCATCGGCGTCTGCGTTGCATGTGGTGAGAGGTTATGCCTTAAATTAAGTAATCTCGGCACACTCTTGACACTGTGGATCTTGCAACATTGAATTCTCTAACGATTTCCGAAATGGAATGCTCTATGCGTCTAACTCCAACTACCATTCTGTCTGCTAATTCACGTTGTGCAGCCATAATTACGTCAGAAACGTTTTCACATGCATCGCTTCAGTGGAAACATAAGCTTTGTCAATGTACTGCCCTTTTGTATAACACTACTGTCATATGTAGATTTGCATATTGCAATCCCATTACTTTTGTTACCTTGGTGTGGATCTTAACTAGTGTAGGCGGTCTGCATCCTTGCTTTCAGCCTTTTGGTAATACTAGTTTATTTAATAATTCCTTTCCCTCCTTTGATCATACATTCCACTGTTTTACAAAGTTTGAATATACTTCCGATATATATTTTGACTTTTTTCTGAAGCAACAGTTCAAACATTTTCTTACGTGGGACGGTATTGTTTACTTATTCGAGATAGACACTTAGTGGCTGTTCAAATTCTTAAGCAATATCTTTGTATCACCGTCGGAGCTTGTGACTCTTCCACGATAGTTGGTACAAGATTTCTTCAACCTTTCTTATGCGTGGAATTCAGATATTCTTCAGAATTCAGATATACAAGATTCCATTCAAGTGGATCTCTTTTCCTAAACAAGCGTACACATATTAAGGAATTTAATCAGCCACATCCATAGAACAGTTGTCCCATACTTCACTAACTCTATTGCTATGTTTTCACGTCGTGGAAATTTACCATTTCTCATTTCTGCAACCTCTCTCCATACCTTTTGAAAAGTTACTGGGTATACATTTTCAATCTTTTTGAAGCTAAAATTCCGTTTCTTGATATTCAATGATACTTATGGCAATGTTGCAACAGGAAATTACATTCCTCGTTCCACCCTTGTATGCCAAGAGTTAGTCAATGCCAAGTGATGGTGGGAAATAAAACGATCAGTAGCACGCGCTTTGTTTTCCGGTGGCAATAGAGAAATTTGCTGTAGCCTATCCGTCCAAGGATATGCAATAATTTGATCCAGAACGAGGGTGATCTTGAATTAAAAAAGTATTCAAACTAAACGCTTGGGATTTTTTTGATACAACACTGCCAACAAAAATTTTCATTACAATCAGAATGCAGCGCAGAAAATACAATTGGTTGAGCCTAGAAACATTCTAGTCTTTGAAAAGTTCAGTATGATCTCTAAATGTAGTATCCTACAATTTTGCAAGATACTCGTCCTCCCATATTTTTTTTACCTTAAAATAATTCTGCTCGAGAGGAAATTTTGAGAAATGGCTTACAAACTTTTGGGAAGATAGAATAGCATGTAAAAAAGACCCATCCAGAAAAATCTTAACAATAAATAATAACAACAAACGTTCTTCTATTTATCTAATTCTCATCCTGCTCCTCATTTGTAAATTCAGAATCGTTATGACAAATTTTTCTGTCGTGTAGAGGAAGCCAACTGGTTGAAGCAAAGCATTCATTGTTTCGTATATTCTAATATGAATTTCAACGGTAGCAACTACCGTGACTAAAGTATGTACACCAACACAGGGAAAGTTCGAATATCGTGCAGAATCTTGATATAAATCATATCAATTGATACAAATTTTCAAACATGGAAAGCATCAATTCATTTTGTATCTGTACCTGCTCACTTCTGACGTTGGATCATTGTTCTTAGTGCGTGGATGAGGTTGGAGACTGTGTAACGAGGTCGCAAACCACGCAGGACTCCTAGGAATCTAAATGGATTTATTGTTCTCAGAGTATGGAAACAGCTTTCATGTTTATTGCATCAGAAATACACTTTCCACTATGACGGAGCAATTGCTCGAAGGAATGTCGGAATACGAAGCCATACATCTATCATTCCCTGAGAATGGATGGGAACATTAATGGAGAACTGAAACATTTATTGAATTATATTTGTAACGTCTATAGACACAACGCGTCTCCAAGCCCTTTGGGAGGCGTTGAGCGCTTTGCGCTTGGAGTAATCCTCCATTAATTTACTGCGCTTATTATTAGGAGTAATTCTCCATTACTAACACGTCATGTCAGTTCTCATCGCAGTCAGTTGTCAAGAGGACCACCATGTAGCATCTCCGCGTACGCGCCTTCCTTATTCCTTCCCAATTCTGGCTTCTGGATAGGGTAGTAACGTATACTACCCTACCCAGTCACAGTGGTTGGACTGGCTCCTGTGAAGCAAGCAAGCTCGTTTTGTTGTAACAAATTTCGCATGAGGTTCTACGGGGATTATACGGGAATCGAACCAGGGCCCTCATTGGCCAGCGACTTCGCCACTCAGCCACGAGATCCCTTAGAAGTATGAAGTGATTTCACAATATATAAGGTCGATTATTGTGAGTTTATGGATCCCTATTAAGTGCGAAATATTTGCTTTATTCTACACAAAAACATTTGAAGATATTCCCGATCGTCTTAAATAAACTGGAGACTCTTTGAATCTGAAACGGATATTTGAATGTTGTGTCCATTTTTTAGAAAGTCTCAACATTTTCAAAATTTTCTAAAAAAAGTCTTCTATATTTTTTTTTACATTGTCCATGGATAGCGTAAAGTAGACTTACGAGGATGGTGAGGGTTTAAGAGAATAATTTTCGTTTAAATTTCTGAGTTTTCAAAATCTGCACAATTTTAATTTTTCGGCGTGTTCGTAGAGCTACAATATAAAAGATCGATTTTTCTTGAATGAAATAAGATTTTTAAACGTAGATCGTGAAATACGGTCATGTACATTTTCAAAAAATATGAGTAGTATTTGCGTAATTTAGTGTGAAATGTAGACAATTTTTAAAAGAAATTTTCCCCAAAAAGTCTCATCCCTTGATTATTATCAAGGGATGTTAAAAAAAGTTGTTCAAGTCTCATTCAAAGAATATAAAATTTTAATATTTAAAAATTACAAAATTGAATGGGAGTGTTATGCCTTAAACTATATTTTTTTATAAAAAATCAACTCTTTAAAAAATGCCATGGAATTTTTTTGGAAAAAAAGAGTATATTTGGGATAATTTGTTCGTAAAATTTCTTCAATTTATAAAAAGTTTTTAAGAACCGCTCCAAATTTTTTCTTTTATCTTTTTTCACGGTTAGAACAAGGAACACGGAAAAGAATAGCGCAAGCCTCAGTTTTTGAAACCTTGAATGTTCAGAAATTGTAAATTTATAAAAATTGATTTATAGAGAGAAAGTATGTGGTTTTCAATTTCAGCACTACTTGTCCCCTTAGAAAAATTCTCTTTTCCTTGAAAAGTAGTTCTTTGTAATTATATAAATGAAAATGTCTGAAAATTTTGGAATTGGATATACAAAGTTTAACTTACTTTTAAATCACTGCAAAGGTTGAGTTTAACTGTTAGTGGAGGGAAAAAATGCTCTTTGGAAACACTTTTGCAGGATCATATTGATCATATGATATTTGGTAGCCGTTAGAAACAATGCGAGAAAATATGAGCTGATGCAGAACCACTAGTTTCAATGTTTCACCATTCTACATACTACGATCACTGGGTAATCCCACTGTTTCCATGTAATGTTGTTCATTTGAAACATTATCCGAGGAAGTACTATGTTTATAAACTTCAAAGAAAGAGAGTGATCAAGATTCATGTGCTTGGGGCTACATATCCCAAACGAGCTTTCAAATTCTTATATAATTACCAATAAGTAGGTTTCTAAATATATTAATGAAATTCTACTAAAAGGCGAGAAACAAACTATTTATGAAAGATTTACTCAGGATGTCTTGCTCGAACACCAAACTCTTTAGAACGGTTAGTTCCATTTCCATTCTATTTACTGACTCGCGCAACTCTCGCACGCGGGTGACGTAACCTAATTAAAAAATAATCGTAAAATGTTTTATATTTAAGAATCTGAACGTTCTTATATTTCTTTTCTCTTACTTACACCATATTGTTCCCCAGATTTCTCCAGATCAATCTCGAGCTTCTCCGCCCAACGCTTTCCGCTCCAAGCAGATGCTTTCCGAAGATTCGGCCCTTCTCCCCTGAAAAAATACACAGAGAAAACAGTCTTTTGAATTCTATTGGAAAAATTATATTGAGAAAATGCTGCAAAAGCACATGAATAACGAATAAGGCAGAGAATGAAAGTATATGCCGAGCACTCACTCACATTGGTAAATGTGCATTATCTTCATAAGTTAATACATTTGCATTAATAATAATTACCATTGTAGAATCACGACCATTGATGAATAGTAAAATAAAATTGGTTCACAGGATTCATCAGTGTGAGTAAAGAAACAATTAGTTGTGCCAACGTTTCGAAATATTTAATTTCTTCATCAGAGCTAGAGTATTAAAACAAAGAAAACAAACATTTCAATAAATTGATTCATTAACACTACCCAAACAACAACACCAACAATAACAAAAGTATATAAACTAAGGCAAATAAAACACCAAAATATAGAAGGTACACACCTTGCTAATACTCATTAAGGTAAAGTCTCATTTCAAGCCATCACACCCAACTCCACATGGAGTTGCTAAAGCGCGTTTTTAAGCGACGACGGAAATGTTTGTTGCCCTCATTCACTGTTCATTTGTTTTAATACTCTAGCCCTGATGAAGAAATTAAATATTTCGAAACAATGGCACAACTTATTGTTTCTTTACCCACACTGACCAATCCTGTGAACCAATTTACTTTTATTAATAATAATATTAATAAATCGTAAAGACGAAAACTCACACTTTGCTATATAACATTCGACTGTTTTCCATCATTAGGGTTTTTATTTTAATGTGATTTTCAAAAGAAACCAGAAAATGAGAACATTTCATTGTCAATTCACTCTGCTATACAATGCTTCTTAATTGTTTTAATTCTTCGAATTGAATCCAAACGCAAAATCAGATAAAGTATGTCAAACAATTACACCATCAAATCTCCTTTGTAATGCCAAGCGACCCACTCAAAATGAAAAACCTTTCAAAATACAATAATTTTATCTGGCATCGCCAGCAAAAGCTTTCAAGAATAAATAGACGCAGAGATGCTTTTAAGAAAAAAATAAAATTCCAACTCTATTTCTTCCTTTGACTGAAGATTATGAAAAACTAGAAGATGAAAGTAAGTAAGTCTGTAACTTTTAAAAGAACAAACTTTAAAAGGAGATGCGAAAAATGTCATCGATTGTTTACAAAGTATTGTCATTTAGATCTCAGAGTTTGTGTTCGTGTACTGTTGAATTTTCCTTTATAATCGCAATTATGCACAATGCTCCTTTTTATTTATCAATATCGATTAATATTGACGCCTTATTAAGCTTAATAAATACGAGTAAAAACTGCTGTGCAGAGTTTACAACAACAAAACTTTTGTTGTTTGAAATTTTTTTCTGACAACATTGACGTGCCTTGCATAAGCATATTTTGCGGTAGAAGATATGAAGCAGTACAATACAACAAGCATTGGCTTGTATCTGCATTGAAACGCAGAATATAGTATTAATATATCGCTTCATGTGATTTTTGATAGATTTTGAGGCTAATCAGCTCAAAACGTTTGAATATCCATTGCAATATTTCGCACTCTTCGTTATGATGCCGTAACAGCTCCTATTTTTACGAGGAAAAGTCAATGAATCAATACCTATTTAGCGTCCAGAGATAACATTACGACGCGGATAGTTGTGAAAACAGGAAACAAAGTGAGCATGCAAAAGAGAAAATGTTACAATGGAGGCAATTAAAGTGATATTTTTTCCAGTTCTAAGCCATGTTGGTGAACATTTAATATGACTGCACTTAATGAATTATCGACGTAGTGCCTTAACAC